GGTGTGGGGTGAGGGTTAGTATTGTTGCAACTGGCTGGATGTTGATTCTTTTACGTTTTAATCATCTTAAAAACTGACGGCCATCTTGAAAACCTGCCTCTAGTCCATCCCCTTTAGCCACGACCCTTTTCTCATAGGCCGAATGACTCAAGTTCTTGCTCCAGGTATATAGATATTTATTATATACACAAGGTCTGGATATGAGCTATTCTGCAATCTGATTGGTTCTCTTCTAGCAGAATATTAGCTCGTACCCTGCTAGTAAAGAAAAACAAAATGGCGGCTCAAACTGAATTTCCGACGTTTGCGAACGAGAAAACAACATTAAGTTGTTCGCTTTTTATAGCCATTACAGGATTAAAAACACAATGAAAAAACTCACACAAGTTATTTACAGGTTAGCAAATGAATTTTTAAAATTTAAAATGGTTAAAAATGTATATTTTTGAAAAAATAATCGGCCGAAAGAGCCAAGATAAAAACATAAACAAAATAGAAAAATATTGAAAATAACGGAAAAGCAAAGTCTGTGAATTCAAACCTTGTGTATATAATAAAACAGTTATTCCACTCACTCTCGTCGCATATATGAGCGATAGCTATCAGCTATCAGATGGCTATCAGCTCATATTCGACTCGAGTTCGTAGAATAACTGTTAAATAACGCTCACTGGACCATGCTCGTGGTTTACGTTTAAAAACGTTGTTCATAACAAAGCTGTTGGGTTGCAAATTCCATGAAAACTAGTTCGTGTAACATGGCCCTAAACAAGGGATTTTCAGTAACTACTAAGTATTTTCATAAAGTAAAAAATAATGATCACTCGGAATAATTTCATTTTAACATCGGCCTATTCGACTAATATTGATAATGACTAAACATTTGTCGAAACCATCGATATTAAATTCAAAATAATGAAATTGTTCGGAATTACCATTGTTTTGTACTTTACTAAAAAAGAAGCTGCGCAAAAAAAAATTCACACATTTAATGTAGTCGAAAATCTTTATACCCTGAAGAAATCTTTCCTGTTATTTATAGAAATCTTTTCTTTTCTAGTTACTAGAAAGAAACCCTAAGTCACTGAGAATGTTGCATAAACGTCGTTTCAGTCAAATAATTGCGTTAAAAAATCACCAGCCTGGTTATGGAACAATTGCACCTTCACCGTCATCAGTAATATTAGTCGATCTATCAGACGATGGCATAGACACCTCTCAAGATCGAGTTTAAATTATTTTTCTTTAGTAATTGTGAAGAAATAAGTCTGATACCAGTTGCTCGTTTCTTGTGCTAGGTCCTCGGGTCACACTACAGGGCATTTTTTAACTATATAACTACTGAGGTATTTACCCCAGTAGGCTTTCTGCTTGCCTCAGTAGTGAAGCAAGATTGCCAAATGTGCTGGGCCCTTTCTAAACAGACCTCGTTGAGAAACCTGCCTATACTTCTTTTATTCTCTACCGTTGTTGACATTCTGTCTATATATGTCAGTACAGATATACCCAGTAGTAGTAATGTGCCCCAGTAGTTGTAATGGCTTAGAAAATGCCTTGTCATATTACTAAGCTACTTTACAAGCGAAAATATGAGAACGATAACCGTTGTGATTAAAACTGATAATACAACATGTTACAGTTCATTACCATGGAGATGCAACTCAGTAGCTAGTATACTTCGTGAAATACTTATGGTGCGAACCAAAGCTGTACTTAATGCAAATGAGCGCGCTATAATGTCCGCCCGCGCACGAATTATCGTCATTATTATTTATGGCTTTATTGACAAATAGACACAACATACGTCTGCTTTTCCAAGATTTCAAATCTGGTAAAATTATTTACAGTGATATGATAAATATTATTTAATATTGATTTACATTTATATTTAATTGTTTATAAGAGTAATTAAAAATAATTGAAAAGTCTGCGGCAATATCTTGCATGTAGTTATAAACTCAGCTGAAATTAGGACTCCATTTTTTTCAAGATTGCATCTGGTGAAGTTAACTATGATGCCTCATTTCCTGTGTAAACAAGTATTACTGCAAATATCTAGCAGTAAAGCAAGCGTGAAACTCTTGATGGGAACATCTAAAGGAAAAGAGAAGCAACACCTTTTATGAATGAAGTGCTTTAGGAGTGCAATCACAGAATAAGAACTTACAGAAGAACGACTCAGCCAAAAAAGCTTAACCACTGCCACGCCATGTTCCTAACCAGTGCGCTTATGAGAGGCATTCACACCCACCCCCCCTGAACATCCGCATTTTGAATATGTTCAGGGGGTGAATGCGACAGCGTTGCAACGGTTATGCCAAAATCATAGGCAAAAGCAAGAAGTCGACCTTTTGTAACTTTCATATTCTGTGGTGCAATTCTAATTTAAGAGTTGCGTACGTGACTGCAGTCAAACGAGAATGAGAGTTAGCAGTCACGCATTGTTACTGGGGACATTTCAAGTTCTAGATTAACAAAATAAAGGTTTGTTGAATGTTCCAACTACGTTTTGACTTAAATCAAATACATGATATGGCCAGCTAACCAATGTCACGTGACTCCTGCACTCTCGTTTGACCCAGGCCCCGGTTACACTATACCGGATTGCATCGGAGCGTCGCGATTTTCATACCGGATTCGGAGTTTACACTACGCCACAATAATCCGGTACGCGACGCGGCGTAAAAATCACTCGGCTTTGGAGGTGATATGAAAAGTAATCCGGTATCTGCCGAAGTAGTGTAAAGGCTAGTTTCCGCTCTGGAAAATTATCCGTGGATTGGAACGGACAAGAAAATTGTTCTTTGTGTTAGAGTCATTAGTTCCAACCCAGAGCTCACAAGACAAAGAAAAATTTACTTGTCCGTTCCAATCCATGGATAATTTTCCCGAGTGGAAATTAGCCTTTAAGCAGGCCAATCCGGTACGCTTCGGTACGTTTTAGAGCGAAACGAAGCAACGTCTGGTAGTCAAGCTTTTTAAACAAAGTTATACTTTACAAGAAAACGTGTGTTACTTCTTGTTTTTAATAAATTTTAGTATACTGGCAAAAAAATATTGCTTGTTTCCATGGCGACAGCGGGACATGAGCTGGCAACAGAGCGAAGCGGCATGCATGGTGTAAACACCTTTGTTTTTTATTTCGGAGTGAAAATTAATCCGGTATGAAAAGTAATCCGGTATAGTGTAAATGGGGCCTTAAAGATGGATCCGACTGAATGAATGATATAACTAAAATTCCATGTGTCAGAACAAATTAGTTAGAAAAATATGTATATATTTCAAGATCGTTCGCCGCTGATATACACATTCCAAAATCTGAAAGACCTAGCTTGTGATTGGAAAATTATCCCGAAATTCCATTGTCTGTATGAACAACGTAATCATAATTGCTCCCTTGTATTGTAGTTAGTTTTTCTTATAATTATGTAATTTTGTAGTTGAACTCGGTAATTCAGCTTATGCTGCAGTTTTTATACCACTGAAAACTTTATAACAAATTGCAAATTACAATTTACACGCTGTTGTTAGTTACATACACTATTGACTAGAAATTGATAAATATAACAAGATAATAATTTAAATTTGATTAATGAATAATGATTATTTTACAACAATGTATGAAGAAAATTTAGAAGTAAAGCAAAAAAGGAAGTAATCGCAATTGCCTATCTTTTTCCTGTCGCAGTGAAATAACTGGAACGCTACCACCAGTCAAAGGCCAGTCCCAGTCTTTTCACGCATGCGAAGAGCACAGTACAACCGTCAACATGAATATGTATTCTTGAAAACCGGCTTAAATTTACAAAAAAAGCTTTTTAACAGCGCTCAAAACTTTCTATTAATGCTTTTATTCAGGTAAAACTTCCTATAGTTGACTTTACTATTAGTTTTTTTTTCTTATTTTTTCTAATAATTGTTTGGGCGAGAGAATCGCGAGGCATAAACTCCCGGGTCAAGGCAATTTATCTGAAGATAGGCAATTTATCTGAAGTTAGCGTTCCAGTTTAAAACAGATACATCATGGTGTTTTAAGTACTTGTATGCACAAAAACTCTTTTAAAAGCGATTATTTGCACTGAAACAACAAGAAATGTATAAATAAATAAAGTTTTTATATTGTGGAATAGTTTCATTAGGAATGGTTAACATTAAGGATGGACAAACCGAATTTAGTATTTATTGGAGGACAAATTTGCTCTCCAAATTGGAGGTCAAAAACTAAATGTAGTCTATACACTGATGCCAAATGTTATCCAGACAATTTCTTGATGTGTTCTTGTAGTTTCAGTGCGAATATTTGCTTTGATTTTGAGCATAGTTATATATAAAATATAATTTCTTCTGGTCACGAGACCACTCACGTAATTTGCGAGGATGAAACTCGAAATTTCCATATTTCTCATACGTCATCCAAGAGTCTTTCACTGAAATTGAGTTCATAGACTTTTTATGCATAACGACGTCAGTGTTGCGTATTCTGGTCCCAGCAGTGAAAATTCAAAATAATCCAACATGGCTACTGTCGAATGCGAGTGGTCTGCTGTTTTTGTCGTCTTTTAGATGCTGCTCAAGCCAATGAAGACCCTAGTTCTTTTCGGAACTCTTGCACGGGTCTTGAGAGGTTTGACAGCCCATGCAACGACATGCAACAGTTCGCTTTCACCGACCAGTACGAGTAAAAGAAGTGTCGGTTTTACGTTGCGTTCCTGGTTGTTTTACCAACAATGAAATTATTTCCCGAGGGAACGGACATTAACTGATTAAGTGTTTTTGTTATACATGTATAGCGACGAAAAATATCAACAACGAATGTTGTTGTACTAATTGTTACTTGTATTTCAGAGAATGTTGTGGTAATAATTGTTGTATTTCAACGAATGTTGTTGTAATAATTGTTGTATTCCAACGAATGTTGTTGAAATACAACAATTCAGGGTGTCCACGGGCCTTGAAAATCCTGGAAAGTCCTTGAATTGGAAAAAATCATTCCAGGACTGGAAAGTCCTTGAAAATCAGTAGAAGTCCTTGAAAGTCCTGGAATTAATTTCCTTAACCTCCAGCTGTGCCAACATTAGTGATTTTGATTAAAATTACTGAATAAAGTGAATTATTTACGGCAAATCTGTGCCATTTTCAAAGATATTTCCCAGTTCCAGGTCCTTGAATTTACTGAAAAAGGGCCTTGAAAGTCCTGGAAAGGGTGTGGACACCCTGACAATTGTATTTCATGACAAAAACTCTATAAGTATAATATAAACGAGTTCAAAATTGAAAGAACCTGCTTTTAGGTTTTCAGCTGCATTTCCTGTTGTGCATTTTTCTTCTCTTTTAGATTCTGTATTCTTTAATTAAATTCTCGGAAAAAACTTAGTTTATAATAAACTTGCGAGTTGCGCCGCCATTAGCGGGAAACTATTTTTCACTTGTTGCCCGGCGGGATACATTGCATTTATGTAAAGCCACGTGATAACAAATCAGCGTTCACCTTAGCTATATAACAATTCCCAATAAAACTATTCTGTGTATAAGCGTTGCCTGCAGAGGAGGCTTTAATAGACCATTTTGCAGACGTAGATTTTTTCGAGTTCCAATCGGCAAAGGTTCACTACTTCATTACACGAGCAAACGTTTAATAAGAAGGGACTGGTACGAGCACGAGTCTTCCCGCTCCAAACGATCAATAGACCTTCCCCCTTTTGAGTGAAATTTTGATCTAGACAAGTCTGGACAAAAATTTCATCACAGCTTGAAAGAGCATCACAAAATTAGTAATATTCCAAAGTTTCGTTGCGAAATGTTGTAAAATGCGGACAATATAGCCTTGCGAAGTTTGCAGTTTTTCAGTCATTTTGCATTACAATCTAACGTTTTGCATCAGTTTGATCATCTGATGCAAAATGTTAGATTGTAATACAAAATGACTGAGAAGCGGCAAACTTCGCAAGGCTATATTTATACTTTATAGGCCTACTTTATTTAGAAATGGTAAATACATTGCAGCCATGAGCTGAATTGCGTATTATACTTACAATTAAAAATTATTAAAAATTAGAGTTTTGAAATATATCAAAGTATTATAATTAATTAACTAAATTGTCAAAAGTGTCTGTTTATAAT